TTGTAGGGGGCGCTGTTGAGCCATGTTGCTATTGAGGTGAGTGTTTCCCCCTAATTATGAAATTTTTCGCCGGGTCTGATGTGTGTGGCGAGTTTGGTGAGTGTGTGAGTACGTTGTGTACCTCAAAAACGCGTTTCTTTCGACAGAATAATAATAATAATAATAATAAACTCTTGCAATTTCAATAGGGTCTTCGCACCCTTTTGGGTGCTCGGACCCTAAATAGTACAAAGAGTCCCTCTTGTTTTAACAAATGCTGCAACATGTTGATTTTTTTTTGTCTTTTCAGTGAAAAATGAGCCACAGTGAAGACAAGTGTGGTTGAACTAAACTAACCGGCTCCTTGTTGATGTTTTTATTAAATTCCAGTAAATCTGAACTTTGTTGAGCAGCTGGAAAAAAACAAGGTGCAGTTCTGATTCTGTCCAGCAGGGGCCAGTGTTGCCTCAGACAGTGTTTTTTATTGTCTTCTTATGACAAGGTTTCCAGAACATCTGGACTTTCAGTGACAGATGTTCAGTCCACCGGACAGGAAGCTGATCCATCGTCCACATCTCACGGTGTCACTCTGACTAGTTACTCTGATTACATGTGACTGATCTTACATTTGATTCACATGTTTGATTTTTCTGGATATTTTATTCAGTGTCATCCCATATTTTCTCTGACGACTGCTTCAGACTTTGTAGAAAACCTCGTGCTGTATTTGATCATGTCTGATTATTAACATGTTTAAAACTTGTGTCCTGACTGACAGCCTGACGTTTAGTTCAGGAGTCACGTCTCCTGAACTTCTTTCTGCCTGCTCTCATGAACTTAACAGCAGAAACACACTTTGGTGGGTTTGTGAGCGTTTGCTGTGTTTCAGCTCTGTTCAGCAGCGTCTCCTCCACTGAGAGCAGAAGGAAACAACGAGCTGAACTCACGCTACAGCCGAAACCTTCAGGATGATTCTCATTTATGCTTTAAGTGTGGAGCAGGTGGAAGCGTCGGACTCACCTGGTGCCGCGGCTGTCCGGCTGCCTGACTCCTGATTGGCCGCTGCAGAAACACGACCTGCTTCGTGGCCAGATTCCCGTCACTGTAAACAGCAGCAGGGTCACAACAACAAACAAACAAACAAACAAACCTTCGCAGAGTGTGAATGCCAACGCACCTGTCGTGCCTGATGATGGGAGTCGGCAGCACGCAGGTGAGCAGCCATCCGAACTCGGCCAGCGTGTGCAGCAGAGGCCCGTAGTCAGTTTTCACATTGGAGCCCTGCAGAGACCAGAAGAAGAAGAGTTAAATATGAAACCTGTGTTCCAGCAGGTTACAGCAGCCAGTTTTAAGGAAACACCAGTTAAACCCACGTTAACGGTCAGATTCGGCTCTCAGGAAGAGTTCTTCATACATCATCATCAGAGGAAATAAAAGCTGATTCTGTTTAAACCTCTGAGCCCCATGAAAGGCGTGTTGTCTTTAAAAACTAGTTAAACACATATCAGAGCCAGAAACTGCACAAAGAGAAGGACTCTTCAGAGTTCTAACTTCCCAGTGGTCCGTGAACTAAACATGTGTGACAATCATCTGCAAATGAACCAAAGTTAAGCCTCAGAGCAGTTAAAAATCACCAAAAAGGGGCGCCTGGATAGCTCAGCGGGTCGGCCGGACGACCCATGTACAGGGGCTATAGTCCCCGGCTCATTTGCTGCATGTCATTCCCCAACTCTCCTCCCCATGTTTGTCTGTCACTTTTTCACTGTCAGCTATCATTAAAGGCGGAAAAGCCCAAAAATAAATCTTTAAAAAAAAAATCACCAAAAAGAAAAAGCAATCGCACCAGATTCTGCATGAAACAAATAAAATCTGGGCCCTTTGTGACGACCGTAAAGTCTCGACTGACTCAGTCTGGAGAGGATGGAACATGGAGATAGTTCAACATCTGCAGGACGAGGAGACGACACTGGTTCAGTAGAATAAAGTCACATTGATGAGGCGTCACAGCTCTAAGCTCAGATTTGGTTCATTTTGCTGATGGATTCACGCGTAACGTTCAAGGACCTGCTGAAAGTTAAAAATCTGATGATTTTTAAATCCTGATTTTTAAATGGTGTAACTGGTGATTTGTCTTCATGAAACAACCCGTTAAAGGCGCCGACTGACCTCGATGACGGTCCACTGCTCCACCACGATGGTGTCGTTGGCTGGAGGAGAAGTGCTTCGCTCCTCGTACACGAACAATCCCTCCAGAGACCTCGGCACCGGCTCACCTGCACACCAACAGGACCGTCACACGTTTGTGTTGTTTCACTGAGATCAAAACGTTGAGAACAATCCACCAGATTCTCCCTCCGACAGGCAGCAGCTCTTAAAGTCACTGAACTCCTTCATTCAGGACTTTATTCCAACTCGATGAAGGTCTGCAAACATTTCTACTGTTTCCATGACAGTTAAAGGACAGGAATTAATATGAACACGAAAAGACATAAAACTGAATATTTTATTGAGGCTGCCATTAATGACGTTCTTCTATTGATCGTATGTTTTATGAAGGTATGAAATGAAAACTGAGGTTTTAAAGAGCAAAACTGTGGCATTAAACTGGAAACATGGTTGAAGTGACGGAGAACGAAGGATCACTGCTAAAGTCACCAGTGAAAGCAAAACATAAATCCAAGATCCAAGTCTCAGCAGCATCTTCTACGTTTCCCTCCATGACACATGCACATTTACTGGATTTTTAGGTTCCTAATCAACTTGTTTTTTCATCTTAATGAAATGTAATCATGTTTCTACTTAAATCTTTACTGTTGCTGGTTAATAAAAGTTGATGTTATGCCTCTAACTCAGTCTAACTCCCAGAGTCACATCCAACGTTATCGGGCAGCAGCACCATGCTGCAGCTCTCAGGCTGTGACTGGGTTGATGGTGACCCAGTTATTAAATGGGTTAAGAGTTCCCCTGTGTTCCTGTGTAGGACAGAACAGAACAGGAGGGTTCTTCTGCTGCCTGGTTCTATTACTGAACACACGTTCAGACTCCGACATGTCGGATCGTCCCAAATTCACTCTGCAGCCTGAACATCCAGCCACGGGGTT